AGGAAAAACAGTAAGGACAGCAGAAAGTCTCTCACTTGCATTTATATATGTGGTATACACGAGGTACTCCCACATGCACCTTCTCCAGACCTTATCAAAGCTAATGGAAGATGCCCAATGACATAAAGGGCTTTAAATCAGTCCCTAAGTGACATCCAACTTGCAAGCTCTAGTTTCTGTCCAGCCTAACGTTCAGGAAAATGACTGCCTCAGCTCAGGTTGTGATTCCTACTTCAAGTGCAGTTAAAAAATAAGGGGGTTTCCCCCCCTGAACAGGGAAACAGGGAGTGCCTAGCAAATGTGTCTGCAATTTTGAGAACTGAAATGTTAAACGATGTATAAACATTTCAGAAATTGATGATGCCTGCCTTTCTCTGGCCTTGGCACGTGCAGTCTTGCCCCAGCTCACATCCATTTCAAACCCAGCTGGAAGGATTGTCCTTCCAACCTGTTACTTTGCTCAGCTCACCCCGAGCTTCACACCTCTCCAGCTTCCCCTCTCTCCCTCATACCAGGCATAAGCTGCCTGCCCTCATCTTTAAAGCTCTGCTCTTCTCTTCATCCTCTCACCTCTCATTTTCTACCCAGTCATCAACACCTATCCCCAAACTTCCCAAATCCAGCCCCAAACATCAGCATCAACTTCTTAAACAGTCAGAGCATGGCATTTTCTGCCCCTAAGCCTCTTCCCCCTGGGAGAATGTTCCCTTTTAATATCTACATCTCCACCCTACAAACCTCCCCGTCTGCAGGATTCTCAAGCAGTGTTAAAAGGAAACGTTCTCCTTCAATCACTCATGTGGACTGGCGTTGATTCACTGCTCTTTGAAACTCATCCTTCCCCCAGCCGTCGGTTCACCTTCCGCCACTCCTCTTGCATTGCATTAAAATACTATCTGTACAGGGAGAGATGGCGGTTTTGGTCTGTGACTGTACAGCACCCGGCACAAGGAGGTCTTACTTGACCTTAGGGACTGGGGCCTCTAGGGTTCAAGGACATAACCAGACTCTTCTGTACAACATAACATTTTTATAAATATCATTTGCTGCAAGAGAAGCAAGAAAGCCAGAATGCCTCCATAGGCCAGGAGACAAGGAAATTTCTCCTTCTTTATTAACATTCAAAATTACAAATCAAACCATTCTAAATTTCTCACATAACCAAAAATGAAAACCAGACATTTATCTACCGCATAGCCAGTGATCTAGCTGAAAGGGAACTTTATGGTCTGAGACATGGTAAATTTGTTTTCAATTATTCTGTCCACATACAAAACCTTGATGAAGCCGTACAAAGCAAATAGTACTCCAAGATCAGAGAAAAGGAAGATTAAGCTAATGGTATTCATGGCCAAACCGTTTTTTTTTTTCTTTTTTCTTTTCACCAGTCAGCAGGAGGTATCTTTGCATAGAAGGATTATTTCCCCCCTGGAAGGGGACCACATGCAGCATCAATGCAGTCCTGGCAACCTTCCTTCAGTATGGCAAATGTAAAGCGACACTCACTCTTCTGAGCTATCATTACTCATCTAGCACATATTTGCAAGGCATACGAAGACAGGGTCTATGCCCCAGAGCCCTCACAACCCAAGGGCCCGAATTTGCAGCCTCCACTTACATGAATAGCTCCATTGAAGTCAACAGACCTTAAGTAGGGGTTGTGCAAGAAAGAATTACGGAATCCAGCCTGGCCACAGCTCAGACACCTACGACAGCTCGCTCACACAAGCGCTTCGGGAGATTGTGAGGAAGGAAAACAGGGTACGAGGCTTTGTGCAAACATGCCAGTTGGGTCTGGGAGTGAGGTGGAGGAGGAGTGGAGCTGGACTCCAAGCACAAGGGTTGGTACTGGAGAAGCAGCATTGCCAAGAATGTGATAAATATGATGACAGCCATGGGGAGATTTAGGAATGTATAGAGTGTATAGAAGATTAAAGGCGACAGAGGTCAAAATGATAGATCTACTGGGAACAGGCATGAATGTAGGAATCGCCCCCTGTTTATCCGTGGAGGCCCATTAAGCCCAGGTCCTCTGGGAGCTGTACTGAAACTCATCCTAAGTATGGTACTTTCAAAATCCAAGATTTCCTGGCCTTCAATGAAAAGCCATTGTATGACCAAAAGCCATCCTGTCTTTACAAGGAGAGAGGGAGAAGAGCAGTTTTTAAGTACTGAGCATGTTTATTGTCATGCCTGACAGAGTAATTCTTTGTGGATCCAGACAAGAGGATCCGTTGGACGGCAAGGGTTTATTACCGTGACAGCAAAGCAGCTTTCACTCTACCCTCCGTCCTGGCAGAACAAAATCCCAGAATTACAGGTGGGAGACTGGAATGGAGGAAAACAGATAATAAATTACAAAAGAAAACTTGTCCCCAGTGAGCACAGTCAGTAGCAGCTGTAACAGAACTGGCTACGTACACAATTTTTAATACTTAGCCACCTTTAAAAGTAATTTTAAGTGGTGCTTGCTCATGTATAGAATGAGTTCCCAAGGCAAAACTATTCATGGTGTTTTAATAATATGTATGTATGTGAGTGCGTGTCTGAATAAATGCATACATACTTAAAGAAGAGAGGAATTGATTGCCTGTTCATATGGCAATGTTTGTATCATCTGCTGGACAAGGGAGTATAAAACACATAGTAAAAGGTCTTCTGGTCCTCCACAGGACCAGATTTTAAATCAATCGTGTGATCAGTGGAAGAAAGTAACATAATTATTTGGCAATTTATGGCATTATGGCAATGGGTTGGGATGATGTCACTGTAAAATCAAAATAGCATTATAAAATGCAAATGCAAAGAGAAAAATATACATAAGAGAGCCAAGTATTCCCATTTAAAAGGGTGTGTCCTTATCTTGAGTTAACTGATTACGTTTTAAAGGATAATACAGGTGAACATTTACCATAAGCATTTCCATCTACCTTTCATTTGCTAAGGATGACTTAGGAACAAAACCTGAAGATGGACAGCCCACAGAAACGCTCCAGAAACTTTAAAAATCAGAGTTTTACACCCAGCTCTGCCACCAATTTACCACATAGCGTTGGTCATGTCACATAACCTCTCTGTTTATCTGTAACGGGGAAACAGCAATGCTAACCCTACTTTGCACGGACAGAAATGAGTTAATATTTTATGCTGCATTTTTATATAGAAAAATTCATTGTGAGCTAGAATGAAAAACACATTAAAGCCGTGTTTCAGATATACGTCTCTCCTCAAAACTGAACTACGAGAGACTGTTACTCTCCATAAACACTCACCTCCCCTATGCTAGGCAGCTGCTTTAGTATTTAACCATAACGCTGATCTTTTCTTTGGCGGAGCAAAGGAGTAGAAGTGACCCTTAAAGAACCCCACAGAGAAGTGAAGGCTTAAAACATTTTTTAAATAATAACTCTGAAATTCATTTTTTCCTCCCTTAGCAATAACTGAGCTCAAAAGTCTCAGTTTTTCTGTCCTACTCTTCCGCTCATCGCACAGGGAGGGAGACGGATGCTCTCCCTCAGCTGCCCGGGGGGAGGATGCAATGCCCTGCCACGGGAGCTTCAGCAGAGACAAGAGCAGAGGACCAGCCCCACGCCAAGGTGTTCCCCTACTCTTCTTTCCATGAAGAAAACAAAGTCGTCTGGATTTCAGTTTCAAGAGAGTGAGAATCGAGAAAGATTTATGAATACAGAACTCAGGAATGAAATATTTTTGTGTATTATAAGGTGACCTATTCACAATAAAACTCCCCCAAACTGTATACAGATCGAGCTGGAAAAAACCCAACTCTTTTGAGTCACATTTGCCACAAGGGGAAAGAGAAGCCAGACATGATGTGTACCTTTCCATACTCTATTTTGGGATTTTAAGATCCTATTTCTTTCAGTTGAAAGATTTTTCTTAAACTTTGCTTTTGCATAACTCTTATAATATTAACATAGCCAGACATGGGCTGGTCTGTGACCTGAGGAAATGCAAAGCACTTTGGCAGATAAACAAATAACATCATTCAGAAAACAAAGAGACTTTTCTTGTTTAGTTTGCTGCTATGATTGGGTTTCTAAACAAAATGGAAATGTGTGGCATGATTAAAATCATCGGCTTGCCTTTGCATAAATAAAATTCA